CCAAAAAACCCAAAAATACTTAAAAATGAAATAAATCCATCAACGCGCTTAAAGCAAAATCCATCCGCCCTCCGCAACAGTTTGTCGAGGCGGACAAATTTAAATAAACTCTAGCTCACAAAGAGCCAAATGCCTAGTCGAAAATATCACTAGGATCCATTCTCAAACAATCTCTTGCTAGTAAGGACGTGGTACGTGTCCTCTAACCGGCAGTTTCGCCGCCAAATGGCACTGCAGGTAAACGGTTATGACCCGGGGCCCTCTGAACCGAGTGGTTTTGCCGCCAAATGGCACCACAGATAGCAGTTATGGCCAGAGCCAATACGCTCCTTAATGGCGTTAAATCCTTGAGATATGAATCAATAGGATATGATTGATAGGGCACAAAGCCCTCTGTAAGCTAAGGTGGATTTAAATTTGTCCCCTTAGACAAACATTCAACCTCGGTCTACAAGGTCCCCTTGGACGAAGCAACCCATGGCTGCCGACAAGGATCCTTCTGTCAGGTTGGGTCGACTACCTCCTCTGACTAAGTAGACCAGGGACCACGATGGCCCGGGACGACGGAACCATGGGATCTTGATCGGGTCTATCATCCATTCCCCCACCATCCGCTTTAAGTGCAAGATGGTGAAAATTTCCATTTTTAAATAACAAATCTTCTAACTCCAAATGCCAAACATCTAAACTTTCAAATTCCCAACTTCCAACCTTTCCAAATACCCAAATCTAAACCCAATTTCCAAAATCCAATCTATGCTGCTACTATATGCCAGATAACACGTATCTTTATACATATCTGATTGACGACTAGCCTTAATCGAAAGTTCTCTCTCGTGATCGGGAGGGGTAATTAACTATAGGGGCTTGCGCCTTTAGGAAACCAGAACTCAGATCATAAAGTCCTCGCAAAATGAGGGCGAAATCTCTGGGTAGTGTCTTATCTACAAACTCATCTGCCTTCTCAAATTTACCCCGGAACTTATTCAGTTAAAACTCTCTCGCCGAATAAAAGGAAAAAGTGCGGCGGGGAGGCCGGGGCCGAATTTTCGGAGCCCACATCACGTCAACGCTAAAGAATGCAATCGAGTGATCGAATCCCCCTCATCCACTCACCCCAGAGGATTTGCTACCAAGAATGACCGGCTCCATGTTCGGGAATGTGGGAGATGACACCAAAAGAATCAATAGAAGGCCATCCATTATGCATGATCGATGTTGTCCAGACCACCAAAAAGCATCCCTGCAGGCGAGGTAGCTCAGGAATGACGATCCACCCACGTTAATTGATTTGCTTCAGGATGTATTTGACATCCTTAGCCAAAGCCCCCGTATCATTTCATATGTTAACGCTTTCTTACCGATACTAATATTTGTAATCTCCATGCACCAACTCCACCTCCATCACCATCATGACCGTCACCTATTCAGAGGAGTTTCGTTTGGCTTAGATGAAATGATGCAAAGATCATCACAATTGAATGAATGTGTATCGGATCCTACTCCAAATCAATTATAGCCACGTCTAGCTTTTGCATACATTTTAATTATTTTTAAATTTTGTTGTCTTTCCTTATTGGTTTCAAGTGACTTTAATAAGCAATGAGGACACTATTAATATTATATATATAGTGAGCATTAGGATTGCATGAAAATAACTGAAGAATGAAATGAATACGAAATATTGAAATTCTCATCATTCTTTCTCTCATCCCTTCCGCTTCTTCTATCTCCTCTTCCTCTAGCTCCCTCTTCGAGTCCCTTCTGTCAACACAAGTTCATCTCTACTCAAACTATTACAATGTTACAATGTATAGCATCATCATATGCCTTCTACCAGCTATTTGGTATCAGATAGATTACACAACTTAAGCACCAAATCACTGTTGGAGAAGCATCTATCTTCAATTCTATTTTTATTTGTTTGTTCTAATAAATATCAATATCATCATTTTTAGCCTCTAGGTGGTTAATTTTCCACTTACCTACACTATGGAAATGTTTATGAGGCTGAGAATATAATGAAAACTAAATTACCATATAATTAAAAACAGAATAGAAGGATGATAAAAGAAAGACACTCATACCTCCTAAAAGAATCATATCTTTCCCATCTTTCGACTGCAGCGCACTATTCTGGAAGCCAGTGCACCAATATTTATCCTGTTAAAATGCCACCACAAATTGATTAAAATTAATATGGCAAATGGATCAAATCAAAGGAGGTTGCACACTAGGGGCTCTTTGAGGTTAAAAAATAGATGCGAAGAAAAAAATGCAAGTAAAACAAATTTTAGATATTTTAGTTTTGAGCAAAGTCATGCGACGTGCATGAACCCAAACCAACTTTAATCTCACTTTAACAACATACCTGCAAAGTAAATGTAGTGGTATTAGCCACATTCACTTTGTAGGACTTATTGTTTGCTAAGAAAATGCTTAGAAGCAAACCATTCAACCTCTTTATTAGATAGATTTAACTTAGGACCCCAATATGCACCATAAATTACAAATTTTTATAAAGCATCATTTTAACAGAGTAGAGGATTTTCCAATAAAAAAAATACGGATATTAATAACATGAGATGCATAAACTGATAAAAGTAAAAAAGTTATCAATATTTTTACAAGGAAAAAGATCCCTGGTTCATATAGAAAACTGGATTACTATGGTCAAGGTTATCAACGAACCAAACAATAAAAAGTAAAATTTCAAACACCTGTAAATTTGACAAGATTAACACATGATCAAGAATGTTTTATTCCTAAAGAAGAGTTATTAAATCATATCAAATTTCAAATTTTAAAGGAGAAGCATAAAATTAAGTTAAGTGTTGCAGAGAGGAGGATGCTTGGGTGGATGACTGGCTGCACTCTTAGAGACAATGTAAAACTAGCATATACATGAAAAGGTTGGAGTAGCTCCAACGGTAGATAAGATTAGAAATAGTCATCTTAGATGGTTTGGTCACACAAAATGTCAGCCTTTCGATGACTCAGTTAGGAGAGTAGATGTATTAGATTTGACCTATGTTAAGAAAGGTCGAAGTAGACCAAAAAATATCTGGTTAGAAAATATTATAAATGACTTTTTTTTATTAGATCTAAATGAGAATTTGACTCTTAACAAGACACAATGGAGAAAAAGGATTCAAGTAGCTGACCCCACGTAGTGGGATAAAGGCTTGATGTTGTTGTTGTAACAAATTTCAAAAACATTGCTATCCATATTGATTTTCAAGGATATACCTAAAAATTAAAGCTTTAGAAACTCTTCTCCTAGAGCAGAATTTTGAAGTTTCAATAGGCATGAGCTAGAAAGACTCTTTGATCATATTGTGGGATGAAATAATGTTAAAATCTAAGATCGTTCATCAATGAAATAAAAAAGATTTGGTAATATCTTACTTTCTCGGATCAATTTCCAGATGTTTTGAAAAGATTATCAGCATCTTGCAGTATGCACCTAAATCGGAACATAAATGAGCATGTTCCTAAAATTGTATACATGCCCCAACATTATGACAATTTGGAATCATATCAAAAGATGGAACCTCTATGATAATTTCTTTTTCTGTTTATTGAAGTTTGAGTTACTTTTGTGTTTTTTGTTACTTAAGTGTGGATGAGATATGCTACTTTCCTAACACAACTGAATTTAAAAGCTCAAATTGTTTATTGAAGTTCATGTTTTAATTTACAGTTTCCATCAATTGGCACAATAACTAAGAAATGAATTGATATAGAACGAGAAGGGAAAAAAGGGGACATTTGAGATTTGAATTTCTTGCTTTAATTGAGATCAAAATATTAGGAATAATTAAATCAAATCAAATCTAATTAGAAACCTAATTAGATTTAATTTAAGTAACTTTCCTAAAATAGGCTATCTTAAATTAGGAAAGTATTTCAAATTCAAAATTACTTAGAATTTGAACTCAAATATTTTCCTAACTTAAATCGTTTGATAAAAGGAAAATAATCAAAGAGGAATTAAAATTTTGAAGGCAAAGAGGAAGAAGGGGGGGGAAGGGGCCGGCGGCATTAAAAGGGGTAGGAGAGGTTATGGAAAGAGAATTAAAAAGGGCTTTGATTGGAACCATAAATTAGGGAGTAATATTTAAATCACGTCCAATTAAATAATTAACCGGACCTAATTCAAATACTTTCCTAAAATAAGAATCCTAATTTTAGAAACAAAATTCAAATCAAATTAATTTGAATTTTAAATTTCAATTTGTTATTAAGTTAGAAGGGCTAAAATAGGAAAGGGCTTTGAATGTTGTGGGCTCCAAAAATTCGGCCCCGGCCTCCGCCCGCCCGACTGTGCTTTCCCTTATTCGGGGGAGTTTTAACGAACTAAGTTCTAGGATAAATTTTGGAAGGCATATAGGTTTGTAGATAAGACACTACCCAGAGATTTCGGCCTCATTTTGCGAGGACTTTATGATCTGAGTTCTGGTTTCCTATAGGCGCAAACCCCTATAGTTAATTACCCCTCCCGATAACGAGAGAGAACTTTCGATTAAGGCTAGTCGTCGATCAGATATGTATAGATACGTGTTATCTGGCATATAGTAGCAGCAATGAGTAGTGAATTCTTTTGATTGTAGTGTCTTATCTACAAACTCATCTGTCTTCCAAAATTTACCCCGGAACTTTTTCCGTTAAAACTCCCCTTGCCTAAACAAAAGCACAATAAGCGTGGCGGGGAGGCCGGGGCCGAACTTTCGGAGCCCACAGATGCAAAAGAACATTATTCCAATATATTCCTCAATGTAAAAGATACTCCCAGAGTAATGAAAATAATGTTTTCATATCAGAGACAGATAACCCAAAGTAACAGGGCAGCAGTATGCAATGATAACAAATGAAGGCCTGTGTTAGTTAATAATCATCTTATATATTGTGAAAAGATGCGGGTAGCTTAGATCTTCACCAATTCTTTGAAAGAAAAAAGTTAGTGCAAGCTAGTCATGAATTCAACAAAATTTCCACATCGCATCACCAAAACGAAAACAAATATACGACTCAATAAATAGACTACTTTAATCACAGGATAAATCTAACCATGTCAACCATTTCTTACAAGTAAAAATAAGGCACTGAAAAGACATCCAAACCAAAAGTTAACGCTCTTCTAAAAAACTGTTGATAATCATAGATCTAGCTAAGAGACAAAGAAGATAGAATTAGTGTAGAAATCAATAAAAAAGGTATTCCTATAAGTGGAGTCCAAGCACATGTGTGTACCAAAAAAAAAGGTTGGTAGGACTGGGGGAAGTTGAAAGCGCTAAGCATATGACAAGTTACGTAGTGTTTAAACCTTGCCAAGATAGTCTGGAATAGATGAAAATCATTCATGTCCAACATAATTAACAAGTAATCACATATTTTAATATATCTTACCCCAGTTGTGAATAAATAATCATGTGGATATATTGGTAATTCCACTGAATCCTCAAAATGAAAAATAATCTTCGGGAAACCATCATCAATCCTGAAAATAAAAAGGAAGTGCATATGAGGACACATGCATCTTTAATACAAATAAATTAAGTAGAAGTTCAATAAGTGCAGTTTAATATTAGATGCAAAACCAGCAATCAAAAGAAAAAAAATAACAGGAGAAACCCTAAGGAAACAACCTCTTCCTAGCCATGCTAAAGCAACAGAACTTGATGTGCACTGACAGATCCCAACAAAACAAACCCACCTCAGTGCTTCCTCTGCCTTTAAATTTTTTAGAAGAACAAGCATTAGGTTCCAAGAACTTCTATCAAGCATTATTCTACCAACGAATGCTAGCAAATCAAATGAAAACTTAGTATAATCCCTCAATTACAGCTTGATCTGCACTGAGAAAATGATTTTTCGGATCCCGCCCGAGCCGGACCGCGACAAAACCTTCTTATCCAGGATCTGGCTTTGGAATTGGTTCCTGAACTGAATCTTCCAAATTACTCAACTCAACAGACACACAAACACAGAGCTACTATTTATCATCAATCACAGCGGAACAACATCTATATTTTCATTTTCCTCAAAACAATCATCTACAGATACAGTACATGGCTTTT